CCATAGGTTTAGTTAGGGTTAAGTCTAACACTCCCTCCGTTCCTAAATATTTGTCTTTCTAAAGATTTCAACAAGTGACTACATACGGAGCAAAATGAGTGAATCTACACTCTAAAATATGTCTATATACATCCGTATGTGGTAGTCTATTTGAAATCTAAAAAGACAACTATTTAGGAACGGAGGGAGTAGTTATCTAGTTGGCGGTGGTGAGGTGATGGCGCGACAAGGAATAAGGCCTCCGTGGTGCCAGCGGTGCGGCAGGGCAGAACACCACGCATACAAGGTGGTTGTCCGGTATAGGGTTTAGGTTTTTTTTGTTAAACGGTGAAAATATCAACCTTTTTATGTAAATTATAACCAAACTTGCATGAAATCCATCGTGTTTGAACGAATTTCGTCCGATTAGTTTGAATTGTTGGAGATGCCCTAACAACCTTTTTTATTGAAGGAGTAATATTAGAATGAAGATTCATCCAGCCTTTTGAGTGTTATAGTAGTTGCCAATTGCTTAGTTGGAAGGTTAAATGACATGCATTGATTATTCTAGCTTAATAAGATCTATATGTGTGCTGGTTGCACCGAGAGATAGATTGCTTTAGCTGTACATAATTTGCATCCACCAAGTTGTCGATTTTTGTGTAGAAACTTGGATCTTAATGATCCCCTCAAGAGATTAACAGAATGAATGTAGGTGGCAGGGATTCAAAGAGATAGACGGAAAGGGAATTATGGAGATTGGGGGAAACCCAATAGGGGCCTCCTAGTCGACACCTTATGCGTTGGCTAGGAGATCCACGCGCTCGGAATTTTGGGTCGGCCCAATAAAACACGACGTGGTTGCTCGCCCAAATCACGTGCTGGTTCGCTCAACAACAAAAAAGTCCGTGTACTGGTTTAACTCAAAAAAGGATCACGTACTGGTTCAACTATTGACTATTTAGAAAAAGAAAAAATAGCAAAAAAAGAAATAAATGAATTCAAAAAATGTTCATGTATTTTGCTAAAAAGGTCATGAGACTTAAATAAGGTTCGTCAATTTTGAAAAAGTTCATTGAACTTAAGAAAAAGTTCACAAATTTTAAAAAGTTTATCGATGAAAAAAGTTCATCGATTTTGAAAAAACAATATATATAGTTTTTAAGAAAAATTCATCAATTTTCAGAAAATTCACCGAAATATGAAAAATCTCATAAAAATATTTAAAAGTTCATCAAAGTTGAAAAAAAACATTCATTTTTTTAAAAGTGATCGTTCATTTGAAAAGAAGTTTATCAAATTTGAATAAGGTTGTGTGTTTGTGAAAAAAGGGAAAGATAAGTAAAAAAAGAAAAAGAAAAAGAAAGGAAAAAGAGTAAAGGAAACAAATAAAAATAGAAAGAGAGAGAAAAAACGAACAGAAACCAGTCCAGAAAAAAAAACCCGACTGGGAAGAATCCCAAAACCGGAAATAGCCCCCTCCTGCTGAACCTAGATGGGCCGGCACATTTCCGAACGCTTCAGGCGCCAGTTAATGAAATGCACTTTATCTGCGGCAAAATGCTGCTGGTTCGCACAGCCGAACAGCGATAAAACCGCAGAAGGGCCAGCGCAAGTAGTTAGGATCGATATTTTGTTTGTTCTCTTCGCGTTTTTTTATGATTTTTTCTATTCCCTCAATTCATAGGTTTCATTTTTCTTTTTCTTAAAAAATGATTTTTTATAATTCTAAAATATAGATAGAATTTTCAAAAATATTGAACATTGTTCCGAATTACACAATCATTCGTATTGCCGATAAATGGTCATATTTTTTCAATCATTGTGCACAATTTTTCTAAAATTTGTTTATTTTCAAAAATGCACGCAAATAAAAAATGTGCATCTTTTGAAATATTGTTTGGAGTTTCAAAAAAAATTCCTGTTTTAAAAAATTGCTCACAGATCAACTTTTCCCTTTTCCAAAAGTTGTTCGGAATTTCAAAATGTTCATGTTTCCAATTTTTCTTCAAAATTTCAAAAACACGTCCCGGTTTTTTAATTCACATATTAAAAATGTTTGATATTTCCAAAAAAATAAATTTTCATGTTTCAAAAATATTTTACTTCTAATAAACACATGTTTGAATTTTCTTTGAATGTGGCTAGTGGTCGGGAGGACCTTTGATCACAGGCGGGCTACTTTTTGGGACTGTTCAATGCTAGTACAACTAGCTACTAGGCCGGCCCAGTCGAGGGAGCCCCATGTGTGGCGTGGCTTGCCTAGGTTGGTACAAGAAAGTACTCTAATATGTGTTATATCGCTGCCAACATGGATATTTTTGGTGGCTTTACAGTTTTTGCCTTTTCGAGCTTGAACAGGTGCAGTATATACGAGCGCCCCGCAAATTGCCCCTTCCACCGCTATATATATGGGGTGGGGCGTTTTATGTTCCCGTCTCATATCCCCCTCCCCCTCCGCCACAATCCGCCCTCCTTCGATATCTCTCTTCATTTCTCCGGCAAGTGATTCAACACGTTTTTTACCCTTTCTCGAAGATCCATGGCCGGTGGTGCACGTGGGCGTGGGGCCGCGGTGATCACCGCTGCACAAGCGCACCTGGCACGACGCGGAGGCCGACAGTTCCAGTTGTGCATGCGTTGAGTCGTGGCAACCGAAGCAGGCGCGCGAGTGCCTGTCCCGTAGCGGCAGCTGGGACGGGTGGGCCCGCTTCAAAGAGCTTGATGTGGCCCTCTACCTGCACGCGAAGAGGTGTACGGAAGTGGATCAAGAGCTCTTTGACGCCTAGTGCGCGGTGGCGGCTAGAGAAGAAGGCATCGATGAGCGTCTCGCCGCCGCCGCCAAGGAAGAGCATGCCTACGCCCATGCTCTCCGAAGGTCGGCAAAGGAGTTCTACCTCGGCGTCCAGCCATGAGCCGGCAATCCCTAGGTTTAAATTAGTTTGAACCATGTTCTTATGCAATGCGTAGCATGATAAACTCCGGTGGTGAACTTTGTAGCACGAAACTGATTTTAAATTTGCATTATCGTTTTAGCATATCTGTTCTGCCGTGTCTTGCACGATACCGCAAATTCGTTCGAGAGCATACCGCAAACAAAATTTACGTTACACATTTTTAGCAGATTTGCTAGGGTTGCTCTTACAACTCTAGAAGAAGCAACAATTGCCGTCATAGTACCAGCACTCGAGTGGCTATCTGATGGTTCAAAACCTTCAGAAATGAACGCCTTGCAGTACATAATCAGGAGAAAGCGCCAGCGCATAATTCATATACTCCCTTCATCCCAAAATTAGTATAATTTGAGTCATTTATTTTGGAACGGAGGGAGTATTACGAAACAGACATTACTGAAACGTATATGTAGCTCTGCAATAGTCGCAGCAGCAGCAGCAGCAACAACAACACATGCTTGAGGCAAAGTCCTCGTCCTTTTTCTGCCAATACCAATATAACTGTATATACAAATTATTATGTTCCTGTAAGTTACCTGACCTTGAATTAACTACACACCGCAACGCTAATAAACACATTGGGTGGGGTAGACAGCCAAATTAACCACTACAAACCGAGACATATACATGATGATTATCACTTCTCACACATATCAATCTCGACCCTACCCAAGCTAAAAACCCTAGCTATGTTTCTATTAGCTGTGTTTCTTACCACCCCTTTCTTCGTCGTTCTTCACCTTATTTTCTGCATGAAGTACTAGGGCACCGCGCCATGCCCCCATGCATGCCCTTGCACCCTTATGCGAATTGGCAACCTTCGCCAATATATCATATTTACACACACTCCACCTACATTATTGTGTGTATGTATATGTATATATATACAAGTATATATACCATGCATGCTATAGCTAATACCTAGCTAGTGATCTTACTAACTGGATCACTTCACTACTCAGTCCCAAGTCCCAACCAGACACACATTGCATTGCAATACCAGTAGTAGCATTGTCACTTTTGGTGTAGAGTGGTTTCCACCGGAAGTCTAACCGTAGAATGGGGCGCGGTGGGGGATGCCCTTCCTCCTGGACGGCCTGCACCGGCTGATTGGCGGCGTGGTCGGCGTCATCGGCCGGGTGTTGGACTTGCTGCCCTCGTCGTCGGACCACCGGACGCCCCTGTCGAACCGCCCGAGCTCGAACCCGGCCCTCCGGAGCTGCTTCCTCGGGCTGAACGAGTCGTCGTCGGAGCCATACCCTTCTCCGCCGGAGTCCTGGCTACGCTTCGGCCGGATGGCGAATGTCAAGGTCGGGTCCCACTGCATCCCCCCGAGCTGAAAAACCACACAAACGCCAGGAACAAGTACGCGTCAGTGAATGAAGCGACCACAAGTAAAATCACGGCACTAATCAATGTAGTCTGAATGCACACGACAGTGTTTTCAATTTTCCATGGCCACATGGGTAGCTTTCAAAGGAAACGGGGAAGTGAGCTGACGAAGACTTCTGAAAAAACTTCATGATGTGCTAGCCATTGTTATCCACCTGTCGTCGGTGCACTTAGTGAAACCCCCGGGTACATACATCATCCCCTTGTCCCATTGACACCGACTAGTTTTTATAAATTTATGGAGCTTGCACAAGTAGTTACCCTACCTGCCCCTAGTGACACTTTTCAATTTGGATCAAGGCAACTGAAGATTCTGAGCAATCGCCCGGCACACAATGAGATGAACATTAGCTAGTCATCCATCCTCTCCATTGAAGACATGTGTGAAGATGATGCGATGATTTTTTTCACATTAAAAAAAAGTGAAGCAAATGAATGTAACTTTCTAGGTAGCAACTTCCAGAGAAGAGATGATGTTATCATAACTCACATAGACATGAACGGTATCTAATCAGAAAAGGTATCAATCCTTCTCATTCTTCCTAGTCCCTAGGTATGGCAAACTTGCAAACCAAGAACACCTAAATTTGCAACATTCACCATGCATATCCGTGGCTAAATATATCCAAACCGGACCAGACAAACACATGACAGGCGCATGATTCGGTAGAGCATCGCCTCGGAGAAGTCAACTTTATCTGGATAACGCGCACCCTCTCTTTTCCGAAGCGAAAGGGGGGGTTAATTAACTTGGCAAAAGATAATGCGTTCGCCTCTGAAAGAGCAAACAAAAGCAAGCCTATCATGGCTGAAAGATCCGGAGATGATGTCTCAACACTACCTACTCCCTGAAAGCAGCCTTTACCTAAATGTATTACCTTAAGCTTCAACTCCTAGGGCCGGGCACTTCTCAACATATATACTAATGCTCACTGCCATTTGCAGCCATATGGATATAAATTAGCTGACAGTAGATATTTTCTTACCTCTTGACTGGTTACATATAGACAAGGAACAAGTTTTTTTATAGATAATGCTAGAAGAGAGCGGCACACACAGCCAGCATAAAAGGCAATTTCAGGTTATGATTTGAAGGACACCAAACAAACAATATAGTATCATCTTTTCCGGCAAAATTCATACTGGTCCATGTCCTCTATTGCTCGGATCGATGGAAACGGATGAGCAGGCCGGCTAGAACAAGACATACATATAGACAAGTGGACCCATTTCAGGCGCATTTAACGGCAACGCGAGCCCCGAAGTTGAGAGGGGCAATCACTGGGATGGAATGCCACAGGATTGCAGTCCAAGATTAGAAGAAAACTTCCTCAAAAAGATTGGTAGCAGGCGAAAAGAAAGACCGAATAACCTTACCATGCAAGCTTGATCCGGGGCAGTTATACTGAACCTAATGACTGACTGGCTATGCTTGACAGGGCCTTAGTTTCTCCGTCAAGCCGGCTCGGTTAAGCTCTTTTTTATGTAGTCCCCGGAGAGAACAAAAGGTGTCTGAGGTTGTTGGTTGGTGCATATCTGTGTGGTCCAAGCTAATCCCGGAAATATAACAAGTCACTATATATAGGCAGCTAGCTTAGCTTAGCTTGGCTTGGTTTGGTCGCTGTTTTTGCAAGGGCATCAATCCTCAGCCTTCACTCCAAGCCCTCCTCTCCCCCAAGGCAAAGCAGTGCCTAGCTTAGCTTGGCAGGGGACGGAAGCAAGAAAAGCAAGACAAAAACGTGCTTGCGCTGCTGCATGGCACTACGCTGCTACTAATACAAAACACTCCAGTATAAAGATGCACTATTCTCAGGCTTAGTGCCGGCCAATGCAGTTGGTAACAGCGGTGGTCACTTGCTTGGCAGGGGGCCACGAGATCGCACGGCGGCAACCCCCTGGAGAATGCTAACAACTTATTCGCAAGTTGATGCTGCTTTGTGTGCGCAAGTTCACTCACCACCACTAGAGCACACCCCTTTCTGCGGTAGGATACGGCTGCTTTTCTCCCCCTCGCGTGGCGTGGAGCCGTGGACACTCGGCGCGCGCACGCGTGCACGCGTGAGCGCTAGCTATGCCACTCCCTGGGTAAACTGAACCCGCACCGCGCACCGGGCCATCATCAGAGCCGACATGCACAGGACTGTACTACAGGAGAACACCGCATTGCACTCGGGTTGCCGTTGACCCCCACCGCATGAACAGAAGCTTCCTCAGACATATTTTGGATTCTGGTCCTAAAGAATGGTTTTCAGGGAGAGAAAGAAAATGGAGAAATTGCGCTGTGGCAGACATGGGACTGTAGGCTGGAACTTGTAGGAGACGGAGGAAGAAGAAGAGATGAGAAAGAGTGGCTAGAGTACTCACCTTGCATCCGAGGGAGCAGAAGCGGAACGAGTCCGGGAGGCTGCGGCAGCAGATCTCGCAGGTGTTGGTGACGCCCTTGCCGGGCCTGGCCTGCGGCCGGCCGTTGAGGAACACGATCTTGGCGCTGTTGATCACGTACGTCTGCACGTGCGCGATGTCGATCAGCTTCCCCACCTCCGACACCCGGATCACGTTGTGGTACGACGAACGACGTATCTGCACTCCCCCCATGTCCACCCATCCATCCATCAGAATTCATTCACATGCCACCACACACACAACACAATCCAGCCATGGATGATTTGGTTAGAGTGGTGTGTACCTGGACGACGTGGTGGTCGCGGTGCGCGGGGACGCAGTAGGAGCAGAGGGCGCCGGCGCCGGCGTTGCAGCCGAGGCAGAAGAGGTTGCACTCGTTCTTGCTCAGGTCCGGGTGCGCGGGGCAGGGCACGAAGAAGCTCGTGCCCAGCAGCGGCCGCAGCCACGGCGGGCCCAGGTCCTCCTCCGACCGCACCATGGGGCTCTGCTGCACGCTCACCATCACCTGCACCACATCTCCACGAGGGACACACGCAATACAACAATTGATTAACCACACCGTCCAAGAACAAAATGCAACTCCCTACTAGCCTCGTGCTAGCCGCCACGAGCAGCGGCAGTGGTAGTACAGATTAATAATCCGCCAAGAAGAGAACTTTACCATGTCACCGCCAGACGGCGCCCTCCGATCTTCTTCCAGGGTCACCGGATTGATCAGCTCCTGCAGCGGCAGACCAGGAAGACGACGACGCCGAAGAAGAAGAGACAATCAATCTGCCAGCCGAACAAAGCATGCCCGAGATGAATGCAGAAGCAGGGGGAAAAAGCAGTCGTGACGCGACGGCTCCATCACGGCCGGGGGCCCCGATAACAACAGTATTAACGAGAATCAGCCGTTACCTGGTCGACGGGCGGGAAGAACCGAGGAAGGTCGGAGTAGGCGACGGCGGCGGCGGCGGCGGCGGGAGGTGAGGAGGGGATTGAATCCTGTGCACTCGGGGCTTCTGGAGATCGAAGGGGACGGAAGCGGTGTCGTGTGATCGTATATATCACAGGAAAGGAAGGGAAAAAACACGGAAATATATTCCAGGAGCGGTATTTATATATGGACACGGATATATATCGACGGGCGCGACGGATGCCTCCCCTTTCCCTCCTCTTCTCGACAAGGAGATGGAGAGGGACGGACGGACGGGGGGAGAAACAACGAAAGAAAAAAAGGCGAAAACGGAGCGGTGGAGGCCGATGTAAGGCGGTTTGGGTTTGCATCAGAGACGTGTCCGCGGTTCTTTCCTGTGATGGCTAAAGCTCCCAAAAACAAATCGCCTTTTTCCGTTTCCCCGCCCATGCTTTCACGTAATCGCGCAATTCTCCGGCAACGGCTCGGTTTTACTTTGGTTTGTTTATGAATGAAAAAATATTTTCGCTCGGATATTCATGAATGAAATGCGCACTATGCCGTCGTCCTCCCTTTTCCCCAACCATACCCGTCTGAACCCTAGGAGAGGGGCAAGCTCTGGCTTCCTTCTCCTCCATTGGCTCTGCCGGTGTGATAGTGCGGGGAGGCCACGATCATCCACAGAAATGTGTGTTATGTCGTTCTTTTCCCTTTTGCTCAACCGTTCCTCTTCGAACCCTAAGAGCCATTCTCTGGCCGGTAAGTCGCCAACATCCTCCTCCTTTACTCGCTTTGCTAATGTGGGAGTGCAGAGAGGCCCTCATCTACAAGATGGTGTTGTAGTTTCTAATGTTTGGGGGGCTCTTAGGTAGGGTTTCGTTGTTCATCGCTTCAGCCTTTCGGCGATGGTGGTGGCAAAGCTTAATAAAATATTCTTTGACAACGTGTTGCTGGCGGTGCTGGTTCGGCGAATGAGGTTTCCTCATGTCTTCCCATCTCGGCGGTGGTTGGTTGCGGCGGCGTCGATGGCATATTTAGTCAGTGAGGTTTATGCTCATCGGCGTTTGTTGGCACAACGGCGACAAACGGCTTACCTTTGAAGTTTGGTATTCACGCCTCATCTCTCACACGTCGACGCCACATCCGACGTTGGCGTGAGACCCATGAGAAATAATTGTGGTTTGGCTCTTGGATCCGTGGCTCTTCTAGTGTGATGGTTTTCTCTTCAAGACAATGATCCGACATGGCGGTAGCTTTCAGAAGTTTCCGTCTACATCATCAACAACAGGCTGGATCCAACGATGCAGCGGCGGCCCAATCAGAAGGATGAAAATGGTCGGACCCAGGGGACTTTGATTTGACAAAATCATTTTAGGGGTGTTGTACTGCTGGTTTTTGTTACTAGACCCGAGTGCGAAAAGAAAAAAGGTGTATTCTCTAGGTCTATGTGGTTGTGGTCTAATAATAAATTGCTAGCATTAGGTGTACGAATTTAGTTAAGAAATTCACGTTTGAGAGCACAACAATTTTATTTAAGTTTTATAGTAAATCAACTTTATGTAAGTACTCCTTCTGTATAGAAATATCAGAGTGTTTATATCACTACTTTAGTGATCTAAGCACTCTCATATTTATTTACGGACGAAGTAGCTTATAAGCAGTTTTCAGACCACCATGAGAAAGGGTTTTTCATAGTCTTAATGGCCCTCAATTAAATAGAATGGCCCTCAATTAAATAGGTGTCCCTTTGCACAAGTAGTACATGTGTAGACCATTCGAGGGCTCATTTTGCGATAAGAATATCTTGTGGGATGTGAGGGGCGAAAGGGAAATGTCATGGGGGATACGGCGGAGAAAAGGAAGAGGGAAACGGATTCCCACGCCGAGCGATACGGGCCGTCCGATGGGGACTCTGCTTTTGCGGGAAGATGGCCACCAGGGGGCCGATAGCTGACAGGGACTTTGGTGCTCGATGACGACGGCGCCCAATTAATCTCCTGCCATCCATCCATCCATCCATCCTTCCCTCCTGCTTGGTTCGTGTGTGCGTTCATGTACAGTTGCTTTTGCGCAATCCACCCCAATTTATTACCATTGAAATGCCGATCGGGCATCTTGAGCGCCAAGTCATGGTCAAGTTGGATGGGTGGTGGCTATTTCCAGCGACCACTCAGCAATTGTACCTGCGTATTTGTGCTTGGTTTGGGAGCCCCCGTGTCCTTTGGAGAAAGGAACAAGGCTTGGGGAGCGTGTCTTTCTTGTGTTTAGACATGTCTAAACGGTGGGCTTGTTCGCCATGCCCGTCGAAAGCAAGCAATTAATTTGTATATATTTGTAGTATACAGGAATTTTAGTTGTAATCTTGCGGTTGTGCATGGTAATGCGCCTAGCTGGTCCCGCATTCGTGTTTGCTACTTATAGAATTGTTGCATATACATCTTCATTTATTTATTTTTGCGATAGGCATATGCATCTTTATTTACTTTTTGCGATCTCCTTGACGCTATTACTTTGACTTAAGAGATATATGCAAAACTTTGTTTTTGATGAATTTAAAACTGCACTTCTTTTTCCCTGTATAAAAAAGAACGGTCACGGTTGAAACAAAATTAACAAACAAAATTTGCAGGGTTTTCACTGTTTCTTTTTATTTGCGCAGATGCTAAAGAGGGGAAAAAAATACCATTTTCGAAAAGGGAACCAAAAGCTGTCAAAATGGTACGTGGTAGGATTAAAATCTTTGTTGTCTAAAAATAACGAACTCGATTTTTTCTTTTGGAATTTTGGTGTGCGCGTGGCGGCATTAGAAAGATTTGCCACACACAAAAACCGAGAATCTCTAACTAACTCAATTGTAACAATTTGCGCATATGTTGAAAGAGTAAACTAAATTTGCAGGGTTTTCATGGAAAGTATTTTTGAACTTCACAGATGTTAAGAGAGAAAATAAATCACCATGTCAAAAAGAGAATGGAAGCTAGAAAATGGCGTGTGATCTTCTATATCTAAATAGTGTTGACACCAGATTTTGGCATGGTTAAGAATCCGGGTTCGTATGCAAAAGTTAGATGCAACACTTCGCGGGCCGGCCCTGAGTGAGAAAGTATTTGGCCTTTGCCGGCTGAATGAAAACTCTTGCCGGGGTGGAAACCTTGTCAGGGAGGAACCCTTGCCGGAGTACAAACCTTGCCGGAGTGAAACCTTGCCAGAGTACAAACCTTGCCGGAGTGAAACCTTGCCGATGTGAAAGCTTGCCGGGTAGAAACATTGTCGGTGTGGAAAGCTTACTCGGATGGAAAACTTGCCGGGTTGGAGGCTGTGATAGTCAATCGGACGAGAAGTTGAAGATGGGCTCAAAAGGTTATTCAAATGATCTCGGATGGAAAAACGTTCAACATGAAAGTTGTTCGTCTCGTCGAAACGATCGATTTTGATATAAAGATCGTCCCAATCCAAATTCGTATGCAAAAGTTATGGCCGCTACAAGATGCTGCTACAGTAGATGGCCACACACTCCGGAGGAAACCCTCCGGATTCCATATTTTTCTGCTGTAGGCCGGATACTCCGGGCATGTCCGTCCGGGGTTTGGATTTTTCTGCTGCAGACTTCGGAAAACAGCCAAAAACTCTCTCAAGATGGCCTCTAATAAAAAAATGTTCAACATGGAAGTTGTTCGTCTCGTCGAAACGGTCAAGATTGCTTTTGGGCACGTTTTAATCCGAGATCGTTTACTTCCTCAAAAGTGACCCGCAAGGTGCTGCCAGGTTGTAAACCGAACAGTTTTGGAAAGTCCGGATTCCGAGTTGGACCCAAACTAGGGTTTTGGACGTGAATTCTAACATTTCCTTGTACGGAAAGTCCATCCGCCTCTTATATACCCAAGGGGTGACGGCCGATTGAACAACATACAATCGAACAAACCAATATACTACTTTTTCATCTATGTTTTATCTCTCCACCGTTTTTCTCTCTCGTTCTTCGCTGTTCTTCGTGTTTGAGAGCTGCGAATCCCGAGGCTCTAGGGGCGAGCGAATCGACCTAGGGCAGCCCATAGCCGCCGCACTCCCTGACGGGATCCCTCCCAGGGGTGTGGGGTTTTCGGGTCTGCAAAAGCGCCCGTCGACTGTCTTGCGTATCGCGCTGTCGGTCGGGTCTCCTTCGACGTGAGCTGCGGTGCATCACCCCCGGCGTCGAGGGTACACGTGACGTGTTCGTGTGTCAACAAATAGCAACTCTCCACTAGTAGATTTCTTTCAGCATGTGCGCTTCCACATCACGTCAATTATTGATAGACCGTTGGATCGAAACTGTGTGACATCCTCAAGTCATGCATACACTCATACGTTGCAATTTTGCATTAATGTATCCATGCAAACCATGCCACGTCATCAAGTTATGCATGTCAGATACAAGTTAAACTTTTTGGGGGGTTGAGTTATCTATGCTCATGGACACTATATGTGTTGGACGCTTGGAGCAAAAGTGTATGGTTCATGCCTCATTTTTTTAAGACAGCGTCACATTAAGGTTAATTCAAATGTTTTATATTTTAACACATTATTTTGCCACATACTTCACATGCTTTATCGGTCTCTTACATTGTTTTTTCATTAGGTTTATTTGTTTCTAAAACATCTATTTATACGTTTATGTCAACATGCTAATGTGCGGGGCATTATCTAGTTCGGCGGCTTCAGTGTGCACCTAGCGGCACAAGAAAGATTTCCCAGAGACACAAACCTGGGAATCTGTAAATCAACTTGTG